ATGTTTTTGTTATTTTTACATCATGTCTTTGTTTTTATATCATGTTATTATTAATCAATTTATATATTATTTTCATATGTTTTAATAATTTTCTTTCATCTCTGACAATTCTATTATAGAAAAAGGGCAAATAGCAATGTTAAAATATTTTGATTTTAATTTTATAATTTCATATATACTATTTTGACATGTAATTTTTTGCAGTAACATAATTACCACACGAAATCTTTCTTCTAATTAATTTGCTTTCAATGTGCACAAATCCGTGCACTGGGCCACTAGTTATATTAAAAATACAAACCATTATATTAAAAAATATATTGTAAGGGTCTTTTCTGAAGTCAAAGTTTTGACCTATTTAAAAAAACAGCTATTTTACTGGCCAGATATCTAAGCCAGCTTTTAAAATTTTTTGAAGTTTATTTTAGAGAGAGGATGAGAGAGAGAGAGAGAGAGAGAGAGAGAGAAAGAGAGAGAGATCAATTAGCTGCCTCCCTAATGCACCTGGCAGGAATCAAACCCACGACCTTTCAATGCACAGGAGGATGCTCTAACCAACTGAGCCACACCGGCCAGGGCAGCTTTTCTTATCACATGTTCAGTAACCAGCAGTTACCATGTACAGTGCTTTTTGACTCTAATAATACCAGAATGTCCCATGCTCAAAAAAATGGCCCTTATAATGGAACACAGAGATTAACCTAGACAGGATTAAACTCAACAGAACTAGATTAACAAATGCCCTAACCTTTGGAATAGAATGGATAGGATTAAAATCAACTGATATAAATACAGATGTAACAGGAGAATAAAGACAGAACCTGGCTGGAGAACCTGACTAGAGAACCTGGCTAGGCTGCTGATCAACTGAACCCTGTCTCTGTGTCATTTCTTCTTTGCCGACTCTGTCCACACCTTTGGGGACTCCTGGACCTGCTGGGGTTGGACCCCAACAATATCTCTTTTATACACTTTACCAACTTAATTTGATTAACAAACTCCTTTTTAGAAATGCAGTTGCTTAGGTAGTTCTCTTAAGAAAACTTTAGACTGCCTGGCTGGTGTGGCTCAGTGGTTGAGCATGGACCTGTGAACCAGGAATCAGGGTTGGAATCCCCCGTCAGGGCACCTGTCCTGGTTGCAGCTCTATTCCCAGTAGGGGGCATGCAGGAGGCAGCCAATCAATGATTCTCTCATCATTGATGTTTTTATTTCTCTCTCCCTCTCTGAAATCAATAAAAACACATTTTTTAAAAAAGGAAAACTTAAGACCGAGGGCCAGAAGAACATAGTGTGTGTGGGGGGAGAGGGCGGGTGTGGAATGGGGATAATGGCAGCGAAAAACTGAAGATTAAAAAACGAATTGTGTGTAACTTATAAAAAGTATCTAGGACTCCAGTAACAAAATGTTCATGTGTTCGTAGACACTGGTGTCCTCTCTTAACACTCACGTTGGATGGCTCGCTCGCTCCCGCCCCAGAAATTGCCCTTTTCCTAACCGTGCACGTCGCTGGCATAATCCTCCCGCTTTTCACTCGCACGTTGGTCGGGAAGGGGAATCGGGAAGCCCCCATTCTTTCTACAAGCTCATCTTGTGCACTTACACTGTGCTCGTCAAGATAAAGCCCAGCCTTGCCCTCCAGGGCTGGGGGTGTGTGTGGCAGATTCGGTGAAGGGCTCCAATGGCAGTTGGGGCCCAGCGGGGACCCAGAGGCGGCGATGGACCTGGTCGGCGCCCGTCGGCAGGAAAGGCGTTCACGGCGGAGGCCCCTCGGAAGAAGGCGTAGGCCGGGTGCGAGGACAGGAGGCGCCGCAGGTTCTGAGAGCAGCAGCGGTTTGCTGGCGAGGCGCGGAGAGACCGAGTGCGAGGGGCCGCGGGCAGGAGCCCGGCCTCGGGAAGCCGTCTCCCCGTCGTGAAACACGAGCGGCCCGGGAAGCTGAGCCCAAAGGCCCCTCAGTCATCCCCCGGGCCCTGAAGGCGGCGGGAGAGCCGGGCAGAGCTACTGCAGGGCGGGCGGCGGAGGCCCCCTCCAGGCGCCGGAGGAGCAGGCTTCTTGGGTCGGGGCGCCGGCGTCGCGATCCGCCAGGACGGAAGGCAGAGGCCACCGGGCCAGCGGCGCCGGGAGGAGCTGGGCAGGCGCCTCGGAGGAGCTCGGCGTCACCCGGGGCCCCGCAGTGCTTCCCGACATGCTCCTCTCCGGGAGGATTTCAAACCCTCGGCAACAACCACCGCCGCCGTCGCCCTGCCGCACAGCAACAGGCGGCGGCCCTCGCCTCATTGGCCGGCCCCGCCTCCGCGCGTTTTGATTGGCCGTCGTGCCTTCCGGCCGCTCCTGCGCTCGCCGCAGCCTCCATTTTGTCGGTAGAGACAGAAGGAGGAAGTCGTCGGGACCCTGAGGTGGCCAGCAGCTGGGTCGTGGTGCTCGTGGGCTGTGTCCGTCCCGTGCCTCGTCTCTCCCTGGAAGGGGAGGGGGCCTCGTTGCCGGTAGGAGCCGCCGCCGCAGTCCCGAGCTTGAAGTCGGTGAGTGGCGGCGCCGTGGGCGCGGCCATGTTGGCGGCCGGGCTCCCCATTGTTGGGGGGGGA